GGTAGTGTCTAATTAAATGTCTCATGATGTTAACTAGCAGAATAATTTCATGTTATGTTACATTACCTAAGAAGATTGTTCATTTACTTGTTTCTAATTTAAGTGTTCAACTCACTTTTCCAGATCCACATAAATTTCCAATTTTCTTCAACCAACTCTTTAAACTTGGGCAATAGTTTCCTTTGGGGTTATACAATTCCATGCCTGTGAACGTGGCCCGATTTACTTGTCCTGACAGGTCATTATGTTTTAAAGTGCAAACTATTATAACTATCTACTTGAAACTGGACAAAAAGGAACTTAAATTCCTAAAATTACTGAAATGATTTGATACAGTTAATAACCTACTAACTATAACTAATGAGCATAAACATTCAAAAAACATTTAACAAAACTTAAGACTAGGTTCAATTTTTTGTTATTGCTAAAAATCTCTAAAATCAGTATGAGTTATTTCATTTCTTATCCTGGGGTTTAATTTTCAACAGTTTTATTATCTTTTTAAAAAGAGGGAATTTTCTAACAGTTCACTGCTTCTTTAGACATATTATATAATTTCAGCCCAGAGTTTGGTACCTATCATACAACTTACACACACACACACACATACACACACACACAGCACAAAGATATTTCTCTTCAGGAAAACTTAGGAGAGAAAGAAAACAAAAATCCAAAATAGAAGCCAGAATTTTCTGTCACACATGATTAGTGGGATCAAACCAAACCATATCTACTGATGTCAAGTCTTATTTCAACTCAAAACAAAAATGCACTGCCATGGAGACAGTTCTGACCGTCTGGAGCCTGTAGGCTGAGTAGAATGCCCCTGGGTGTTTCCAAGGCTATATCTCTTTAAGGAACAGGAAACCTCATCTTTCTTTTCAGGAACAGCCGTTGAGTTTGAACAGCTGGCCGTGTGGTTAGCAGTCCAATGTGAGTTCGAACGACTGAATTTTTGGTTGGCAATAAAGCTTTTTAGCCAGTGCCTCTTGAGGATGCCAAGCCCAAACCAAACCCACTGCCATCGGGTGAATTGACCCGATAGAGAGTTTCTGAGACAGAATTTTTATGTAAGCCAACAGCTTCATATTTCGGCCAGGTAGCAGCTGCTGGGTTTAAACTGCCAACCTTTTGGTTAGCAGCCTAAGGTGTGGGTTAGGTAGCCCACAGCACCACAGTAACTGATATATCCTTTTCTGAAAGCAATAATATAAACAATTATTTATGAGAAAGCCCTTCAATCTAGAATTTACAATTCTAGGAATCAACCTTAAGCAACAACTTACAAATTTAGATAAACTTACATATCCAGGTATATATTCTGCAACAATTTGCATTTAACACTTAGCAAACCCAAACCCATTTTTCCCTTTTCTCTCCTAATTCTACGCTACATTTATTTCCACATTCTGATTAATGGACCCAGTTGCTCAAGTCAAATATAAAAGAGTAATTTACTCAGTCCTCTTCCCAGCTGTGGTAGTTACATAATCTGGTGTCAATTTGAGGATTAAGAGTGTAAGGGCGGATTCTAGCCTATCAATGAGGATATAGCCATTGAGGCCTCTGTGTGGGCATGGCCTTCTCCTGAGGATTCTGATAACTCCTGTATCCTTCCTTGGAAGCGGGAAACACTCTCTTTCTAGGCTCACTCCCTGTGAGACATCTGAGAAGACACATGGAGAGAGTATGGAGCCAGACCTCTGGAGCCAGAGAAGCCACATGGAGACCCCTGCCAGTGCTGAGATGCTTACAACACATGGAGAGAGTATGGAGCCAGACCTCTGGAGCCAGAGAAGCCACAT